TTCGATGTTGAGCATGAAACTTCGTGATTGCACGAAAGAAGACCCAAGTGTGCCGAAACTTCAAATTTCTTAAAATCGATTTTTTTCACATTTTTGCAGAGTTGATTTTCGTGTCCCCCCTTAACGTCGCTCTCACTTTGGTCACAATGACCGTTTGCCGCAATTCACCGCTCGTGACATTGCAACTGCCACTGTGCCTTGTCTAACACTCCCTTTTTCCGGTTGCTCGCCTTTTTTTTCCTGTTTGTTAGGCGAAGCACAGTCCATGCGTGGAAGCCGGCGTTGACATGGAGCTTCTCGTTGCGCGTCCTAGCGAGCGCTCGGTCGCAAGCAGACGACGCAGTGGTGAGTGTTAGCCGCACCCATCCGGAGACGGCGCCATGAGCGTGCCCTGCGGACGACTCCATGGTTTACGTCAGTGCACGTCCCTGAAAACGTCTGGCGTGTTGCTTCAATTTCGTGCAGAACAAGAGCCGCGCCTCGAAATTTCGAGAGGTAAGTTCCACCGCCGAATTACGCCTTAGACGAAAGCTCGAGCTTTCTATGTGGAGGCACCAATTTCCCCAGTACGTTGTATTGTCGAGACCAGTTATAACGAAGTCAATAGGGGTCGGGTATCGCTTCGCTATATCTGCTTGTTTGTTATATATGAACTCATACAAATACCAGGAAAAAAAAGAAGATAACACAAGCTGTCCCGGGAATATGTTTATGGAACCTGCAGAAAGCGGTCGAGGCTTCCTTGCACGCGTCCTCTGCTAGATCGGAGCTACTTCTCGCCTACTGCCAGAAGCCCCGATCGAAAAAAGATCCTGCTACGTACGGACCGTGTCGGCAGATGCGACGGCCCCGCGGAGGATACCGGTGGTGGACGTTTATGTGCACTCCGTCGAGGATGGCACACTTTTGAGTCAAAGATATTGCCTTCGCCTTCCCCGTCGAAGTGCTGGCAATGCCGGGACTCTTCATCGTTGAGTGGCGATGATTCACCGAATCACTGCTTGAGCGAAGTAGACTTTCGCGCAAGAGCGACCTCGTCAACCAGACGCCGACACCGATCACAAAGCAAACAAAGAAGTGCGCACAGCACCAAGTTCGTGCTCAAGCTTCTTTGTCGTCGGTATACACAAACTCAACTCTGTGACGTCATGGCGTGTCAGTCGCACTTCCGGTCTGGGGCTGTGGGCAGAAGTCCCCATGCGAAACGTGTATTCCTACGTTGTTTTGAAAGGAACCAGACAAAAACCTGCCTTCTCGTCAAAACGCCGTGACTAGGGCCGTACCAAAAATGTTGAGAAAGGTTTGAACGTCAGTTTTCATGTGCTCGGTTCGTCCGAGAATCTGGATATGTGCCGTGAGAAGGGAAAAGCAGACCCCATCGAACAACGATTGTTTGGGCAGGAAGCACTTTGGGTTGAATTCACAGATACTTGTGGTCATCAGATCTATTTCCTTTGTTCCAACATGAACGCCAGAAAACCGTCAAGTTGTGCGGACCACCTGCGGACTACGTTCAGCGAGTCTTCAAGTTCAAACGGCCGCCTGATCGTTCGAACTGTCGTCTGCTCTTTCAAATGTTTCTGTTTGTCGTCTGCTCTCTTAGAATACGCTTGTCGACCAATTGTTGGCCCGGTACTTGTGATAAGAAGTAAGTGCAGGCCTCAAAAGACTTAAATTTGAAGGTTGGTAAGCAGGCTCGATGTAAACAGTAGATACAAGGAGATGTTGATCATTGTTACCAGTGGCCATCGCCGACTTGTTTTCCCTAATTCACTTGGTCCGATTCTGCTTACGATTTTCAGTATTGACGTAACCATCTCAGCTACGGTTCACGCTTTTGCAGCCCGAGTGGCATCGCGACTGAAAATTGCAAGCGAAATCTCATCATGCGAATCAGGCTTTAGCGTCCATTCTGCAGCGTCCACGCGGAATGAATCGCCACATGTCACATTATTCATGCAAAGTTTTGTGGTGTAATGAGCCTCGGTAATTTCGCTGACGCCACTCAAGTAGTCAGACATCACCAGGAAGACGTAGAATCAACAATTCGAACGCGAAAAAGGGCAGGGGGACTCCCACCGACGCCGACAACATTGCATTCCCATGGTCTGTTTATGGGCGACAGCGAGCTTCTTGCCCACAACCCCATTGCGCATGCGTGGCACCGGTGGCGTCCGCTAGGGGCACTCCGGTTTGTTTGTAAACATGAGTTGGTGTATATGTACTCAAACAATTGATATTTTGCAAGATGTTAATGATTTCAATGATGTCCGTTTTCATTGCTTGCTATTAGGACTATGTTATGATCTAATGTGTTTATATGTGCCGTCAGTTTTACATTTGTTTCTTTACATTATTCTTTTCCATTTTCCACCAATTTGTGATGTGAAAACAGCAAAATTGCTGCCAGGACCTTCATACAAGTGTTCCATACTAGAGCATTTCGGATATTTATTTCACTCGATTTTGTTAAAGGGTAACTGCAAAGAAAAAAAAAGTTTTTTTAAACAGCCTAATTGGGACAAGCATGTCACAAAACAAATGTTCCGCGAAAAAAATATAATTTTTTTTAGCAATATTTACACCACAGGATGTAATTTAGTCGGAGTCAGAACCTCTCCACATATGAAACTCTCGCTCTTTCGACCCCCCCGTGGAGAACTACGCCCCGCCCCTCACTCTTGGATTTGCTCTTTTGAGTTGAACGACGCAGCGTCTCGACTTCTGGTAAGATCTGGCAACAACGCACGTTAAACATGGCGCCGGTATTGTTTTGGTTTGATGGTACACGAGAAGCTGCGCGGTTTGCGAGCACATAGCGAAGACGTGAACGGAGAAGTGCCCCTGTGATGTTCCCGGAAGACAGAAAGTATTATTCGTAATCGTCGTGTGTGCTTTGAAAGCGAAGGGAGCCATACAAGCCAACGTTCACGACAGCGCTGAATTGACTTCGGCAATCTTGTTCTGTTTGGTACAACACGACGATGTGACAAAGAACTAAAACTTTCATAGTGTGTGAGGTGCAGTGCTTGGAAGTAGACACCCACACTAACACGCAGCGCATATTGGTTGTTGTGGGGTTGAGGTTCAACGGGCTCAATCCTGTCGTAGTCAGCTGATCCAGTCAAACTGGTCCGGGAGGACGCAGCGAGCGTTTTCAAATAGTAAATTTTCCTTCGTTCCGTTTCAAAATGTGGAAGATTCCCGATGCACACCATGAGTACAAAACTGTGGACGTTTTTAACAAAATTATGTTGTTTTAATTTAACAATGAACTCCGAATTGTTGTCCTAAATCTGCCGTTTTTATGCTTCGTGTTGGACTGCGTTTCCACAGCAACCTGTTGCGCTCATCGTGCGGTGTGAATAAATTTGGGCAAGATTTCCTACCTGCCCACTGATGCATGAACTGAGACCGTTTTTTACGTAGTAAACATAGGGCTTTTTTTTTTTGTTATTTTGGGAAGAGGCGTTGTGCATTTATTACGGTACAATCACTTGAAAGATCAGAAAATGGGGAGGGCGAGCAAGCTTTCCTAACTTTGTCTCTTTGCTCTCTGGCACTGCCTCTAGTTTCAAGTTTCGGTAGATATACCTATTAGCAGGTACAAACTGCTCCAAAGCAGGTAAAAGACTGGGAAGTCGGGACGGTGCGGACTCCGTGTTTCGCGCTTTTCGCAAGGTGACTGGGGAAGTGCTTTTGCAAGGTATGCAGAATATGGAACCAATTTTGTTATGCCCGTCGTTTGCGTCTTTCCAGCAAAACGAATAAGATAATCTACAAAGCCGCGATCACAAGCCTAGATTTACGATAACAGTACACATTCATTCAAACAACTTTACGTAAGATGGCTCAGAAGCTGAGAAAAAAAATCTGTCTGCTAGTGCAGAATTCGGACATCCGAAGGCTTCTGCGGACAGCTACTACGTAATAACCTGGCTGTGCCAGGTTTTTTACGTAACAGCTGTGTCTAGTCGCGCGCGTTCGATGAACCCCGTGCGAATCTCAACGGCCTCCGGAGCGATATGACGAGAACGTAACTTGGCACGTTTGTCGCTACGCGAACGCCCGATTGCCTCCAGCCTAATAGCATTCCTATCGGGGCGACATGGCTGCTGGAAGGCTCGCTGTCGGGATCAATCATCTGCCATCTCCAAAAAGTCAGCAGTTGCACGCGCAAACGCAAAAGAAAAAAGAAAAAAAGCACGCTAAGCAGGCAAAGAGGAAAACGAAAGAACCGCGCTATGAAAGCCAAAACCCCGCATCGTTTCCTATCACTAACACCGGCGACAGCTGCTAAACACACACTACTTCACTTCAAGAAGTCTCACTCAAGCACCTGGGTCAGTACGAAACACTGATCACTTCGGCGAAACGATTAGTCGAGGTAGGCAAGACGGGTGGGAGGCAGAGACTTCGGCGGTCATGAAAGAATGCCAAAGCTTCTGTTTGTTATGGTATGAATCCAAACGGAAGTGCCCGTCGTGTAAACCTTTTGTAAAGAATAATAACTCTCATCATATGGGTTATTCTTTAAACGTAAAAAGATGCCGCTCAGAAGGAAATTTTAACATATACAAAGGCTTAACAACCAAGGTATAAGCTGTCAATCAATCTCTCAACCAAATATAGCAGCCAATTGGGGCTAAACGTCACAGAACCCCACCTTTGTGGCGCGCGATTTAAAACGGACGAAATAGCCGCAAACTAAAATCAGTCTCATGCAATAAATATTGCTGTAAATTTTTTTTCTCGCGGAAAAATTGTTTTTTGACGTGCGTGTCCAAATTAGGCTGTTCAAAAAAAACTTTTTTTTCTGTGCAGTTATCCTTTAATTATTCTAAGCCACATAAATAAACAAATCTCAGCCATTCATAAAAAAAAAAAGAAAAAAAGAGGTTATCTTTAGTGTTCCTGCGGCGTTCCACCATGCTAGTGCAAACACAGCACGTCGGCCGCTCGTCCGACACACCGGGAGGACCGAAGGACGCTACACTCACCAGGCCGACGTAGACGGACACAAAGAAGAAATGGATGGCCCCGACCACGTGGGAGATGATGCAAAGGCTGTTGTACACGAGCCACGGAATCAGAAGGTAACGGTTATCCTGCAAAGGAACAGCGGTGCAAACTCAGAAATGCCCGTCAAAGCGGTGGCACACAAAACGGCCACAGAGTCGATTCGACTGCACACGCTCGCCCGCACCCTGTTGCCACCACCGTTCGAGCTAACGAGACGAAGTCGACGCAGAGGCTCCAAACAGGATTTAAAGGAAGCAAAGGCTAAAGAGCCTCGTCCCTATAGACCACAGGGCACACATACCAGTCATAGATGGCGGAGCAGGGTGTGTGCAGACCCCGCACCGGCACTGCCACGACTACTGTGGAATGAGTATGTAACAGCAAAAAACCACGACCTCTTCGAGACGACCAAGGTCACGGGTGTTAAGCCACGGCTGGCATACGCCACATGCTCTGGGAATGCCCTTAAAAAAACACGTGAGGGAAAAAAAAAATTTTTTTTCTAGAAGGGCATAAATGGGGCATGTACATTTAAAAATAATTTTTCCACAAAAAAAAAAAATTGCGGAATAATTACTTTGTTAGATGCAATCTAGGGGCAGAGGGTAGAGGTTGCAGCCCGCTAGGCCCCGCACTAAGCTTATACGGTGCTTACAATTCTCATAGTTATTCTTATTATTCTTGCAGTAATGTGATTGGCCTAAGCCATTTTGGAGCACCTTTCGGAGCAGCCAAAACAGTGTTTTGGAGCAGCAAATGTGGCCTTCGGAGCAACCAAAACATTGTTTTGGAGCAGCAAAAGTGGCTTTTGGAGCAGCCAAGACAGTGTTTTGGAGCAGCAAAAGTGGCTTTTAGAGCAATATTCTTAGAAAAATAATGCTATTTGTTTTAAGTGCTGTACAAACGAAGGGCACTTTGTATTGTGTTGCGTTCTGATGTGACGTGTTGTGACGGAACTTGCTGCTTGTGTTTTTACTGCTGAGACATCCCACAAGTGTACAGTGCTGTAGGCATTGCCGAGCAATTTTGAAAAACCGCTTGCCGCCGTTTTACTGGTTCCCGACGTGCCAGATTTTCGTCAAAAGTAAGCAAGCATAAAACAATAGATTGCAAGCGTCCCGGCTGGTGCCTTTGTCGCGCAGTCATGCTCACATGCACATGAGGGCAACTTCAGCAGGCCTGCAGTTGCGCGTGCTTCGTCCCACGAGCGGAGACAACGGCTGTTCGATCGAAACGGAAACCATGCCACTCCGCCCCGTCGCTAACTGATTCTCAAAATTGTATGCAAAATGTAACTGTCAAGCATACGACAAAAAAAGAGTGCAGCGGCACGTGCTCGCCACGACGGCAGACCAGGAAAAAGCTAAACACACAGACACACACACAAAAAAAAGAAACTGAGTGCATTGATGCAAGACATTGCCAACCAGGGTCAGAAAGTTCTTGGAGTGCTTTGTGCAACGACTGAACTCGAGACAAACAAGCGCGCTGTGCGGGTTCAGCGTGGACATTGCCTTCTTTGCTTTAGCTCACTTCTCTTCACCAAATTTCTTCGGAGGCAATTTTTCACGTCCTGGGATTCCTCTTGAAAGAAAGCTCACCGAGAGAACCCTAAGTAATCAGTACTTCGACACAACAGTCTTTGAATTAAAGAGTGAATTTTTATAGTAACGCATGATTTAAACAAAAACAGGAATGTTGATGAACATGCGGCGGTATTTAGTTTCATTTTAGAAAGCGCCACATCTGCAGCGACATGGGGACGGCAACACCCGACACCGCGCGGCCACGGTGACTGGAAGGCAGGGATTAAAGATAGCTTTCCCATGGCTGTTGCTTTCAAGGGGCTAATGCTTCAACTCATAAAAGAAATCCTGCAGCGCAGAAAAATGGTTTCGTTTCACAGCATGACGGCATGGCTGGTACCCGGCATGCTAGCATAGGAGCGTCCGCACACACCCGCGTCTAGGGTTAAATCTATATATATATATATATATATATATATATATATATATATATATATATATATATATATATATATATATATATAAAAAAAAAAAAGACACCCACGCGACGACGAGAGCGCGAAACTTGAGATGGCAGGAAAACCATGCAACATGCAAGACCGGATGGACAATTGATGCAGGGAACTTGGTGTCGGGTGGCCACTTGCGCCACATAACACAAGCATGCTCAATTACAATACTCAGCTTAGTTTCAATTTTGAAAGGCGACCGAAATTGTTTTTTTGGTGCAAGCTTGGTGCAGATTACCCATATTTTGGCAAAATGCAGCAGGGTTAGCCCTTTGGTGCACTTTGGCGCAATTGGCGCAGCAATTACATCACTGTTCTTGGGGCATGGACTAGGCCTCAAAAAGATTCATTCGTGCTCCCGTTAATCTTCCCATCTCCTTCTCCAGCACATATGTGCAGGCTCCTGTTGAGCTCCATTCCCTCGGCTTCACTAGACTAGTTTCACGTACTGTTATGCCACCATGTTCCACACTGCGGCACGTGCCTTCAGAACACCTGACTGGATACATTTAGTTTCGGTGCTTTTATAAGACAGATAGGAAATGCTGAAAATACAGGGCGGGCTGTGGTGGAGTGGTTCAAGGCCGACCCACAAAATCGACTTCTGCCGGAAAGAAAACCGGTTCCCAGTTTCCTTTTCCCCCATTCCATCTCACACTCTTCTCTCCGTCTTCCCCATACAAGCGGGTCTCTGAGCTACTTCCTGCAAGAAGGAAGGTCTCCCTCTGTCTCGAATGGGAAGGGAGGAATTGAGAAAAGGCTTTCTCCTTTCTGGTTGCTCGTCGGCCTTTAAAGAGATACAGAACCAAAATTTCGAGCTCACAAACAACTCGAGCTCACAAACAAAACGCCACTCGTACAGTGATATCTCCAACGGATCGCAGCATTTTCGGAAAAGAAGTGCGCGATTGAACAAAGCTGACGAGACCAAGTCACGTCATGATTCTCATTCCCTCTCCTCCCAACGTCGTCCCGTCGGGCAGGTGAGCCGAAGCGAGGAGGAGAGAGGGGTGAGGCCGCTTCTCTTCGTTCTCAACCGTTCCAGGAGGACCTTGACGTCATGGCCCTCGCTTGATCAGGCCTTTCTTTTCCAAATATACGGCCACCCATTTGAGGTATTGACATACAAGTGATGTTTTGGAGTTTATATCGTCCCGCTCAAAGCTTCCGCAGCCTTATCTTGCGAAGTCCAAATTTCGGTTCACTGTCCAACATGCCCAAGACGACAATTCCGAGACACAGAATTAGAGTCCCGGCACTGCAAAAGACCCCCTTTTTGCAACTTCTTAACAATTATTCAATTCGATCAGTATGATTCATACATCTGCATATTTTCAATTATTTCCTCTTTGGAGACTGTTGTAAGACGATAAATTTTCTCCGGGATGTAGCAGAGTAAACCCATTGTTACAATTCGGCATAAAAGGTGCAGCATTTAGCTGCATGCACTAATGCAGCTCAACTGCATTTAGCTGCATGCACTAATGCAGCTCAACTGCATTTAGCTGCACTAAATAATAATGGCCTTCCTCGAGATTCAGCAGCACCACAGGCCGCGTCCTGTTGTCAATATTTCTACAAGGCCGAGTGTGCCCTAAAGAGCCCAAGTTGGTCTAACCAGACGAGATGAGTCCTCACCTTGAGTTTCTCAGATGATTCCACACCAAAGTCCCAAAGGTTTATAAAGGGCACTGCTCCCAAAATGCCAAATGATTATAAAGGACATCGCCTCCAGAATGTTGAATGTCTACAAAGGACATTGACCCCGATATGCCAAATGTTTATGAAGAGCATTGCTCCCAAAATGACTAATGTTCATGAAAGAAATTACCCCAAAATGCCCATGTTTTGGAAGGACATTGCCACCGAAATACCCCAACATATACGAACGACATTGCACCCAAAATGGTTAATGTTTATGAAGGATATTGCCCTGCAAAATGCCAAATGTGTATTAAGGACACTGCCCCCAAAATGGCAATTGTTTGAGAAGGTCAAAGCGGTCTACGTTACAAAACTCACGTCACTGGCAGCCTTGACAAGAAGAATGCAGGCGACGATCTCGACCACGCAGTCCACCATCCCGGTAACAAACAGTGTTGGCAGCCCTGCACAGGAAAGCCCGGCCAGGTTTAGATGGATGTATGGATTGTAGTGGCTGTACACTTTGTATCAGGCACCAGTTTGTGCCACCTAACTTCCTGGACGGATGGATAGATGTTAACAGCTGCATTCTCTATAACAGGATGTGGCATGCACCACCTAACCTAAAAACCCAAAGACACAATTCCTCCCGCAGCCCCTCGAAGCCAATTTCTCTCCCCTCTGCAGTTTTGTTAACCATCACCAGGTGGTGTAGGCTATGGCCAGGATAACCTTTAGGGGATTCAGCAAATAAATGAAAGACGTTTACAGCTTCCTGTAACACCGATTTAGAGCAGAGCTCTTGAGGAGGAGGAGAGGAGAGTACTGAAGGGAGGGTATGCCCCTCCCCCTCATCCGTACCCTCTCTTCCTCCCCTCCTCCTTCATCTTCCTTCACGCGCGAAATGCAAGTCGTCACGCGACGTTTCGGTGTGGTGCCGAAACGTCACGTGACATTTCGGCACGGTGCATTGTGGGACATTTCCCATAATGCACCGAGCGGTTACGCTGATGCCGACGCCGCTCAAGCATGTCCTTCAAAACTTCAAACATCACTAACGTGGCAGATTAAAAGCTGGTGAGGTGTTTCTGCTTCGAGCCATCCAGTCCACTGATGAGTTTGCAGCACTCTTTGCACATGGGCCGCATCAAGCAAACACAGAAATGTGTAAATAGTAATGACAGATAAAAACTAAGCTTGCTGAAGGTCGTTCACGACTGGGAGACTATGTGCAATAGAGGTACAAGCTAAGAAGCGCAGTGCCGAAGGAAGGTCTGCATTCTTTTTTTTTTTGCTGTGCTGGTCACAATGAATATTTCCATTCAGCTTGATGGGAAGGAATATTTGGAATATTACATCGGCCAAAAGAAAGCGGGGCAGTTACTTCACGAAAAGAATAAAAGAGATACAAGTCAACTTGTACCATTATTGCATGTAGCCCCCCAATAAAAAAAAAACAAAAAAACATGTAAAGCATAACTGCAATAATTAGTTTAAAAAATAAGCTTGTTGGAGGCTGTTTACTATTCAAAAATAATGAATACATAAACAAGGCTTCAGATCATGGGAAGTCAGGCTACCTTTGAGGCATGATTACACTGGTTCAAACTGTAGACAAGCGATTTTTTTTCAGCACATTACACTGCACGACCATGACTTTGGTGCTCTTCTGCATTTTCCTTTGGAAGGGTAGTGGCGGGCATCAAAATTCTGTTACGTTAGCATGCCAACTGAGCAATTTTCACTACTATAGTAGCTTTAATTACATTCCTTCAATACCAAAAAAAAAAAAAAAAAAAAGGTGATAATTTTTTTTGTGATAACAGCGTCGCGGAGCGTACATCTGCTGCCCTAAACTTTTTTAAAGGGGCGGTGCAACAATTTCGAGATCGCAAGGACCTGCAGCGTGTTAATTTTACTTCATTTACCTCGGCATGTGTAAAAGAAAACATTGATTAATTCAGAATATCACGATTCCACCTTGCAACCGCAAAGCAAAATACTGGCTAATTCAAGACCTGCAGCCACATGTGGTGGCCATGGGAGCCACGGCATGACGTCATGTGTTTTACCATAGCGAATGGGGAAGTGGTGTGTCTGTGCAATACCACCTAGAACACAAGGCCTGCGCATTTTCTCCTCTAAACATCATAACTAGTAGATCCCCTCAGCACCCCCTAGCTTGCCCGGATGAGCACCATCGTATGCTACATCGTCTGCTCCATCGCCTGCTTCAGTGGTTTGTGTAGGAGATAATGAAAGATGCTCACGCTGAGTGTCTGTTGCTATAGCATACGAAGAAGTTACGACGTTCACGTGGAGCGTCAAATGCATGAGTGAAAATGCCTTACTGCTGTGCGAAGGGCTGCAAAGCTCTTCGCTGGACGCTGGCACTGGAGCGCTGTTTATACTCCGTCCACTCTTAAAGGGCAACTCCACTTATTTTCAAAAAATTTGAGATAGTGGCCGATTTTGCTTTTTGAAGCACTCAAAAACAATCCCTAATCCTTTGTTTCGCGAAAAATAAAATATTTTTCGTGTAATTTTACTCTAGCCATGATCACAAACCGAAACCAAAACGGTGGCAAAGCCGGACAACATCGTATATTCGGCATCACTAAGCATGTACACCCACGTGATATACAAGGGGAAGAAGGAGCTCCCCCCTTATCAGGATCCTCCTTTGTGCCTCCTGGATTAGCACAGGCGTCGCTATTCTCCTCCCAGAAGATTATAGAAGATTAACCTGCCACTCAAAATTCTTACAAAAGCAGCTTCCCTCTCCTCCTTTTACTTGGTGTTCAAAAGTATGCGCACTGAACACGCAAGCCGTGCTCAACGCTCAACGAGGCGATGGGCCTATCAGTAGTATCAATAGTCAAGCGCCGGGCCGGCCGAGCGCGTCACTCACGTCTCTCACAGCGCTGGCGCCACCCGTGCTCTCCCAGGGAAAGAAAACAAAATTTTAAAAAAAAAGAAGCTGTACATGCTTGATGACGTCACGGACGTGCCGGGAGAAGGAATTTGGAGGAAGCGGAAATGCAGCCGGGCAGTGTTGTCTGGCCCGCACGTCCCATCCAAAACCAGCGGATTCGTGCTTGTCAAACTTTGACAGCGATTTTAATGAACTTCTCGGCGGAATTCCGTCGTAATATTTGCCATGGGGGTTTTGTAGATGATAACAAAGAGAACTGTATAGTTTTGCACTACTGGAAAAGAAGCGGAGTTGCCCTTTAAGCAGAGAGTGCAGCCAACGCCACAAGCACATAAGCTCAAGGTCGTTGCTTTGAAGCATCCTTCCGCAGAACGAGCGAGCGTGCTAGAAATGCACGTCTCAAAGCCAGGAGCGCGTGCTAGCTCGCACTCCTGGCGAAGGGAGTGTTCGCATGCACTTAGCAAATGGACTGGAAGCTCGCTATCAGCTCGCGCTCAGCAGTCGCGCGCACACAGCTGTGGCCGCCAGTGAAAGCGACGCAGCCCATACTCTCGTCAAGCCTTAGCCTGTTTGCCGCTTCGGGTGGATCGGGGATCTACTAACGAAACGTCATGCACAGGCCTTGTCTTCTAGGTGGTATTGGTCTGTGGCACCATCTACCCAAAGCCAACGAAACCACCCCCTCTTCGCTGCACCCGGGACAGATGGGCAAAACCACGTATAAACACTTGTGCTTCCTCGCTCATCTGGGATCCGCTACTTGCCACGAACATTGGCGATGCTGGCTGGTTGCAATTTTTTCAGACGACTGAACCGGAGCTTGAACAGTGTTCCGATTCGAAGCGACAATGGCCGGACCATCGAAGAACGAAGGAAGTTTACGAGCGTGTTCAAGAACACAAGTGGAAGCTTTCCATCAGCCGTGATCACTTCGCTGCGCACAAATTTGTTTTATTTTTCTTTAAATAAAATTTAGTACCTGTTGGCGAAAATGGTTTTCTGTTCTTCATTCTGTAAGTGACAGGCTAATTCCAACGATCAATGGGCCGAAGTCCAAAATTTGTCGTACGGCCCACTTTAACCCGCTTCGTATGGTACCGATTACAGAACCGCACGCCGGTATAATGCTAATAAGAATAATCTCTCGGTTCTGCAGCGTGACCTTTCAATCCACATGCCGTGCACTAAGACACTTGGCCAAAAGAATACATGAATGCTTTGTGCTTTGTAAAACGTTGTGCAACAACGCGAGGGAACAATTGCATTGTTGCACATCTGCTCGAAAGCCAATCGTCTGAGCGCCGTCTTTGTGCTTCCTTCTGTGCAGCTGTGTACTAAACTAAATACATTAGCATTCCCTAAATGCTTTGTGGTCTTGGAAGAAAAGGGTTACAGGAGTCCGGAAAGCCATAAAAAAAAAAATGAGGACGCTAGCGAAGACATCAGTCGGCAAACATTTAGTTTTGCGGCGGGTCCCCCATCATTACAGCACTCTCCGACACCCTGCCCAGCGTCCCAAATTGCAGTGCGCGATTCAACTGGTATACAAAGGGGAAAAGCCAAGTTCGTCGATTTCAAGATGCCGAGTGTTTGTCCACTGCAGATCTTACTGCACACTATGAAATAGAGAATAGAAGTTGCACCTAGAATCAATAGACCTTTTTCAGAAGTGCTCACCAACTAGTGGCTGCTGTGGCAATTATTCGAGTTCATCATCGTTTGGGAACATAATCTGCGCATCTATTGGAGACTGTACCAGCTGTACCCTCGGGGTAACAAGGCCTTCCTTTCTCTCCTGTACGGAGATTACACTCACTAACTGTCAGATTCAGAAACTTCAGGAGTCGGGACCAATCTTATTAGATACACTCAGTTGTGGAACTTCCCGTGGACACTGTAGGCATCTATGGGAAGTTCATATAGACACTGGAAGGCATTTCTGAGAAGAGGAAAGCACATGCACAGATTTAATCTGTGCTCAAAATGGGAGAGCCCGTGACTATGACTCAATGCCAAGAAAAATTGTCCCCAAGTATAGCATATCACCGTACAAAAGCTATTGTCGTCTGCAAGACTAATGTTATGTACTAGCATAAGTGTTGTAAGTTGGGGAAGTTGGTATTATGACATGGTGAACAGAGCAGCGCACGAAAGGACAAAAACAGAGAAAAGGAACATGCACAACACACAAGCACTGACTCCCAGTTGTGACCCGTGACTCGATACAGAAAAGGAAGAGGACGTTCTGAAAGCACTCAGGGCACGCAGTGCGTTTCACATGCAACACAACACCATCTAACTACAACGTCTTTGCCCCATAGTCCGATCTAAAAACAAGGTTTCGGCTAATGCAGCAGTCACCCAAGCTGTTAATGCAATGCGCTTCCAAGATTTTGCGAGTCTTCTGGTCTCGATGATGTCCAATTATTGTTGTGCCTTTAAGAATCAGAGTACATGAGCAGGGATTGCAGTGAATGGGAAGATAGATGACTGCCCATCGTAGATTCTAGTGAACTTTAGTAACTTAAAAAGAGCACTTGAAAGGTACAATCTGCCTATAATGTTTTCAGCTCCCAAAAGAATGGCGCAAATCTGGTCAAGGGTTTGCTCGATAGCGGAAAACCTTAAAAAAGACACATGCCAGAAACGCGAGAGCCACCGATATGTGTCGTGTTCAATTGGCGTGGTGTACAAAATCCCACTAACGTGCAGTAGAAGCTACGTGGGCCAAACTGGACAGTGCCTGAACGATCACCTTCTCGAGCATGATCGTTCACTAAAATCTACGGTGGGCGGTCATCTTCCCGCTCATTACGATTCCTGCTCGTGTACTCCGATTCTTAAAGGCACAACAATAATTGGACATTATCGAGACAAGACGACTTGCAAAATCTTGGAAGCGCATTGCATCAACAGCTTGGGAGACTGCTGCATTAGCCACCCATCAGTGACACTGATTCAAACCAAAACCTTGTTCTTAGATCAGACTATGGGGCAAAGGCATTACTGTTAAATCGTGTTGTGTCGCGTGTGACACGCACTGCATGCCCTGCATGTCTTCCAGAATGTTTTCTTCTTCTTCCTTTTGTGTATAAATTCAGTTGCGAGTCAGCGCTTGTGTGTTGTGCATGTTCCTTTTCTCTGTCGTTGTCGTTTTGTGTGCTGTTCTGTTCACCATACTAGCATAATGTTGTCTGCTAGAGTATTGTCGTCTGCTAGCTTTCTCAGCAAAAACCATAACCTAGCGGCGGTGTACATTTATGAAAGGGATTGTCCGGTCCAATTTTGTGTTCGAGAAACCAATTGAATATCACTGTCCTTGCCTCGAAATGCATTGTCCTTGCAATATCTGAATTTTATACATCCCTCTGCATGAGTAATTAAATTTTAAACTGCTCCAATCACATCCTAGCGTAAACGGTGCTTTCGTTGGCCACATTGAAGTTTTGACGAAAGAGGAAATCAGGCTTTTCTTATCGTTTTTAGGCTAGTTGGCAGAAGCTACCACCAATTACAAAGAGTAGAGCTGTTATCCATCCATCCATCCATAATGCAAAGGGAGCAGTTCCGTCCCGTTGTTTGCTTGCAAGTGAATGCCGCAGCGCGCTTCATCTTTGTTGTGCTCGACTTGTTTCGTAGATGGGTGGGATTTTGGTTGCACGGTTGGGTGCCACAACCACAGGGCAGTACCTGTGATCCGCGAGACGTGCAAAGACGAGCAAAATGGATCGTCGCTCTGCGTAGGAAGCACTGGGTCCTTTGTCAAGATTGAGATGCCGCTAATGCAGCAATAATTTCACAGAAGAGAGCTACGAGCTGAGCTCTACGAGGACAGAAGGCTCGTAAGCTGAGGTGTGATGCTGGTGTGATGCACACATAATCGGTTTGATTACGCAGCTAAACCGAAACCAATAGCTAGGCCAGCTTGAAACGATGCCAAAAGTTATATTTAGCACGCATTCAGCCCGACTCTGTTTGACCCCCGTGTGACAATGGAGTGTGGCTACAATTCACCAAGCTCATCCAAGTCTTTTGAACGATTTGCCATTCGCCTTCGACCTGCGGGCATCACCTCCGAGAGCACGACAAACAGCCGCATCACCAATCCAGTGGATCCACCTATATGAGGACGTAATGCCGCTTCAGAGGCAAAATCTGCATCCCTCTTTTTGCAAGCGCTCCTTGTCCGGTCGGTGGCCGTTACGGTTGTGTATGCGCCAAACGACATACGTTTGCTCGAAGCTAGTGGCTGTTTTCGAGTAATGTCCGGCTAAAAAGCACAACTTTTTGCACGAACTTGGGAACTGCATGCAAGAAATGTATTTCAGTAGGGTACACCTTAGGAGACTATATAATTCGAAAGAAAATACAAGACATTCAGTGGCCAACGCTTGTTATCCCGACCATCTGACGCTCCTTTGCGTTATGTGACGTCACGAAGCAGCTACGGATGTCAGCCACACTGGCGAAATTCAGGGTCCAGTTTTGTACACACGCTCATCAAAGGTTTAATTAATATTGGGACATAATATATCAAAATAAAAATGATGCTTGTCTACATGAAGGCTTCCTCGACGTAACGCAAAGACTTAAGTACTTCCGGTTTCGACTGGACAATCCCTTTAAGGAAAGTAAAATGTGCACATAATCTTCTTTCTTGGGACTAAAGAAAACTCCATAAATCTACTGCAAATGAATAATGGTTGCAGAGGCATGCTTTTGAGCTATGGCCCATGGGCAGTGAACAAGTGGCACCTTGGCCAACTGCTAACCAGAGCACCTGGTGATTAAAAAGGGCAATTTTGGGCAGTATTTGTCACTGAATGAATGGACATGAATGCTGTGTCAAGGTCTAGCAGGAAGCTAGAACATTTGCAGGGGTGGAACTCATGAAATGTACTTGGGAGCAGCCACGGGAGCAGCTGAAACAGCTGTTTTGGAGCAGGTTGGGAGCAGCTAAAACTATGTTCTGAAGCAGGCTAGAAGCAGCTCAGATCAGTTTTTATTGCACTTCAGCTTGTGTCTTAGATAAGTGCGGGAGCAATTTCAAACGTGCTTAGCAGCACAGATGAACATGAGTGGTTAGGGACCTAGGTAAATGGGATAACAGTGTAACAGATGCAAAAACTTGAAACCTTGTAAGCCTTACTTAATGAGAATCAAAAAGCAAGTACCCTATGTTTCTATAGCGTCCTTGATATTTTCTGAGTGGCTTTCAGCTGCTCAAAATGCAAACCAGCACTGCTTATCGCACAACCCACACGTGCTCGACATAGTAATTATATGTGCGAACCACGTGACGTGCGTAAGCAACGGACGTGCAGTTGCATGGAGAAACAGGGCAACCAATTTTGAGTTTATCCTATTGTGCAACTCGATATCAAAGCAGCAGACTATGATTAAAGAAAGTTATCATATTTGAAGCGATAAGCAGGAGCAAGGTTAATGTACACTGAGTAGATCTACCACTTGAGTGAGAGCTGCTGTCTGGCAAGGTTTCGGATCAAACCGCGTTTCAGTTCTATCATATCACGATTTATCTTGCAGGAATGCGGTTCCAACTTCTAACAATGAAGTACTAAAAATAATCTTTTGCCCATTAGTTTTCAACTGGCTGACGTCCAGATCCCGGATCCCGGGCCGCAGAGCCTTAGGCAATCTGACGCTTAACGACTCGACCTCACCTCAGCCGACTTGCTTAACCGCGTATAGTTGAAGAATAACAATCCAGTCGCAGGTGGTGTAGCGCTTAGAATCCCAGTTTTTTTTAGCGCTTCCGACTCGGGATACACAGGGAGAATAAACAGAACAAAGGATTGCAAGGCCGACCAGGCTAAACGCGCTCATTGTTGCCAATCAAGTCAATAAAACCGAAACCAAGACAAAATAAAAAGTTTTTTGGCACACAGTTTGCTATCTGGCGCATAATGGTGTGAGGTATTGGTTGTGGCGCAGTTTTAGCAAACATGGCGCAGGATGGCGCAGACACATGCGTATGGCGCAAAATGGCGCAAATGGTGCAGTCGTTCCACCCATTCATTTGATATCGAGATCGGGTTCAACAATAGGGGCCGTAGCAGATCTCAGAGCTGCGAGAACTCTGCACAAGATGGCGCTACCTGTCGAACCAAACTTCACAGCCCGGTCGGCACGGAAGCAGATGAGTATTTAAGTTTGCGCACAATGCCCACAACAGTGCTGTAAAAATGAGCTATAATTGATTTTAAAAATTCATTCTTAAAATATGTAGTCATATTCAATGCCAAAAAGCATTTCGAAAGCAGACTGTCACCGTCGAAAGCACAATGGAGCATAGTCGATGATGATGATAATGTCCCCAAAAGTGCACCTTGTCACAGGTAACAAGTATGGTGCCTGGAGTATTTTATTGTTATTGGTCCCTTGATTTTTGTCTCATGACGACATAAAAGTGTTTAGAACGATGGAAGAAAGTCATTGTTTCAAGGGGATAGAGGGGCAACACTCATGGGCAAAAAAGCGTTTGAGTACTGAGGGTGATTGTACTAAAAAAAAAAGGACCGGTGAAATTTTTGTCAACCGGCTTTGATCTTCAATTTAGGGAGTTAAAATTTGTGGGTACCCTAACACGCTACTATCAAGTGTTTGCAAAAGCCTATTCCAGAAACTTAAAGGATCACATAATATAAAAAAAAAACACCCTAGAACAGATCAACAAAAAAAGAGTGCAAGTTGTGCCTTATATGCACAAGATATCGCATAATTTAAAAAATATAGCTGGCAGGTATGGTATTAACCTTCTATTTTCGGCTCCTTGCTGAAAGATATGTCCTATGCTTACTGGGCATAAAAGTGATCAATGTGCAAAAAAAACAAAACATGCCGTCACACACACTAACTGCACAAATGGGGTTGTTTACGAAATTCCTTTTAGCTGTGGCCGCATTTACATTGGACAAACGGGTCGGTGTTTCAATGAGAGAGCACGCAAGCATAATCTGTCGGTACGAAGCGATTTGGGTGGTCATCTTGCTGAGCACTTCAAACGATGCGGGTGTAAACCACTTTTGAAAATGACCAAGTTCCTGAAGAAAGGGAAATTATAGAAGTGTTTTTTATCAAAAAGGCGGGAGACAAGTGCGCCAGCATGCTGTCGGTGTGTCTCATTGACAAAGGATTATCTTCTCTTGATGGTTTTATCTAAAGATAGGCACGTGGTAAACATGTAATTTTAATATATAAATATTTTTGTGTTTTTCATGTCTGCAAGCGGTGGTATATATTGCTTGGTTGGATGGTGCAATAAACTTAGTTGGAAGTCAGCGCCAGTCCTGTCAAACGTGTGCCTTTTTTTTCGTCCCTGTCCAGTTCGTGCCATTTTAATTGTGTCTAAATTTTTTAGGCGTTTGTGTTTCGAAGAAGTCTTGCACATCTCTTGAAACGAAGAGCCAGAAATATCTGCACACTACGGCACTCACATGTCAGCTTGTAAGAGGCCTCCTCCTGAATCTCGTCGAGCTGCGAGTATCCCAGCGAAATAAATATGAGGTTGATGATGCGGAGTACCTGAAGAAGCAATAAATATGAAATTGTAATTCAGCACTTGATGGTGCAGAACCGATGTGCAACACACAAAAATTGGGAGCAAACAAAAAACAAGAAAGAAAACAGGTGTGAAATTCAACACTTGCAACGAGGAAGCGGACCTGGGCAATTTCAGAAACAAGGTGAATTGGGGATACAGCCGCGAAATCGAAGTAAGAATTTCTCAAATCTCCAGTACGCAAACAGACTGTAGGTGGCAAGAGAGCGAATCCAGAACCACTAAGTTCTCGGAATGCTTACTTCATATCGCGCGAAAACGAACCCACTACAGACTTCAATAACTCCCGCATGCATCCACTTATCTCGACAACCGAGTTCGTTGTGTTATTTCAGGCTATTTCCATTTGTTTCGTCAGCAAGAACAAAATTTACGCTCGCTTTCACGTAGTCTGTGGAAACCATTCTACAAATCGCAGCCGCCTCGGGAAAGGAGCCAGGCGGGATCTTGCCCTACATTTCAATCTGATCTTTGGCATTTGGGTGGGTCGACGATTCTGAGGCGTAATGCCTCAAGACGATACTCTCGAGTACGATGCGATCCTTCCCAAAATAAGCCTTTTTGTTTTACCCTCAGTCTCCTTCGAAGAACATTCGCTTGCTTCCACCAAGTTCGCATCCAGCGACCCAAAGGCCGGCAAGAGTGCGAGGCCAAGAACGAAGAGTTATACTCACTATGATAGCGATCCCCACGACTAGGGTGCCTTCTTTGACGGTACAGCCGAAACAGCAGTAGCGCGTCCGCCAGGCCAACATAGCCCGCCCCGTCTCCTCCGACGCCCGCGTCCACCTCACCAATCCCGCCTCGATCGCCGAACCAAGATACCACCAGCCGTTTTCTTTTTTTCGCCGCTCGAACTACATGCTGGTCAGCGCTAGCGACGAAAACACGCGAAGACCGCAAACACCACACCTAATGCGGCCCAGAGGTTCCGTGCGGACGACGACGTCCATTTTGGATTAAAAAGGCTCTCCTCTTGTTGTTGTGCGTGCATTTGTGTTTGTGTATGCGATCTACCATGCACCGATGCGTTTCTCGGAGCGAGAGAAATCCTGCGCGTAGGAAAGAGTACGCTCGTCTCGGTGGAGACCATTGCTTCTTCCTGCGCATGCGTCTAAATGTTGTGTTTTCTTTTTGTGACCAGTGTTGTTGGCATAGATTAAAACCGCGCAGTTGGTTTCGGTTTGGACGCATTGCCCGCGTTCCTTGTTTTCGCACAGATGCGAGACAACTCTCAGAGCAACCAAAATACAGAATGATGTTGTGAATAGTTCGGAAGAATAAATATGCACATTTTCCACCTGCTCGTGTTCACGCGCTACGCTATCGTTTCTGTATTTCAAAGGACATTGAGCACCACCATACAGCATTGATCGCTTTCTTTTCAGATTTTTTCGCGGCGACACATTTGCGTTTCCTCCCGTTGACGTCACAAAACGTGCGTCAGGGTCAACCGGACGACCGGGCCAACCCCGACGTTTGCATGATGTCATCGTTTTCATCTCAAGAAAAAAACAAATTTTGCGCATTGTTCGTACGCTGTGCTAAGTAGTTCTTACAAATTTGCTTGTCGGAGGAAAAAGCGATGCTTTTGAGACTTTGAAACGTGTGCGTCTTGATAAGATAATATTTATCTAATCTAAAATTTATCTACATATATCTAAATTATACACATAAAAGGATACCCAGACTTTTTTTTTTTACTAGGAAAAGGACGACACCCTAATATTTTACTGTTTTATAAATCTCAGCTCTTTTTTCTTTTTTTTTTTTTTTACGTTTGCTAACGACTTTTACAACTGAGGCCGTTCAGTCTGCTCCTGTATCTGTCGTCCTATGTTTACCTGCTGTCTCGGGGTCGTGGTATCTCTGATATTCACCAGCTCGTTAGAGCTCTGATTTCCAGTTCTACAACCTTTCAGTAGGATCGGAGCTTACTTAAAAATTATATACCAATTGCTGTTGTTTCTTGTTTTTTTGTTTGCTTTGGAGATATTTTTAAAACGCTTTAAAAGAGGTGAGTTATACGGCCAGGCGGACATAAAATAGGCTGATAATCGTCAGGGTAAGTATTATAAAGAACTGTATTCTGCTAATTAACGTTTAAATGTCGAATAGACGGCTTTCTCAAGCTGCCTATTCGACAGCTTTTTCTGCAGGCCTCCTGCAACATGCATTTTTGGTGCAAAATAAAACATTATTATTAATATTATTATTATTATTAAAGGAGCTGTGCAACAATTTCAGTGCTTTGCTTAAATAATTTGGGAGTGGGCGTCTCGACCTTTTTGAAGTAAAGAACAAAAAAACGTTTTTGCCTGCATGTCCTAGTTTTTATTTTAAAAATTGACAATAGTGAAGTTTTCGGCACCTCTTAACTCTTTCACCATCTTCCGAGTCACGTGCGCTGTGACGTGAATGGGGGACGCACAGGGTTCCGGTATGGTGCCTGGAGCGCGTCTCCGACTGGTGTGTTTAGCGTCCTATCCCGCCCATACATCAAAAGTGGTCCCCAAAGTGGCAACAAATGACGTCACAAAAGCCGGAGTGTCATGCTGTTGCACGTCGCGATCTTGGCGGTTGGTCGTAGAAATGCTGGCGAAAACCACAAGCGAACGCGAGTGTCGCTGTCGTCACGGCGTTCCAGGCGTCCCAACTTCCGGCTGCGTTAGCTTCCGTGGACCGCCGCATTCGCCGCATTGCAGAGTGACCTACAGCAGAACAGGCGTCTGCCACATGCACCACAGCTATTGGGACGCCGCCAGATTCGCGACCGGCGAGAGCATGACACTTTTATGACGTCATCAGGCGGAAATCAAGGGACCACTTTTTTGGACCCAGTAAACACACCAGTCGGAGACGCGTTCCAGGCACCGTAGTTCCGGTAAAGCACTCTCTCCAGAGCCATCAGTGAGCAGCGAGAACTCACCCACTTGCGACCAGGTGACCACGTGCTTGCGCAGTGCGATCAGCATGGTGAAAGAAGGAAAGTCTCGTCCGCGTCCGGCCATCCCCGTCCGGCTCTGCCCCCGTCCCCGTCCGGCTTCTGGCGGTTGTTCGCGGAAGCAGATAGAGCTGACAGTTTTGTTGACCTCGGATAGATGGCGCCACTAAAACTGCGTATAGACCGACACGCGGAGCGGCTCTGTTTACCAACACGGCCGGAGGGCCGCGCATGCGCGGTAGCTATGTGGGCAAAAGCAGCCCGGCTGTCCGTGTTTTCGCCATTGCGCTCTATGGCGTGCGCTCGTTGTTGACGTTGTAGGAACGCTTGTATCTTTATTTGTGCGTCGTATTTCCTCTCAACGTATGTCGTATGCTATGCCTAGGGTGTGCATTTTCCGGTTTTAACCGAAAAACACCGATAAACATCCGTCGGTGACTAAAATATAAAATCGGTTAAAACCGAAAAACACCGGTGGTTTGATATTTCTCCCTGGTTAAAACCGAAAAACACCGGTCGTTGCTAGTTTGCGACCTAGCGAAACCCTTTCCCCGTAGAGGTTCGTCAAACGTGTTATCTCGTGGATCCTGCATTCTTCCAGTGTTTATACATGGCTTGCAGGTGGCGTCAGTCCGCCCTCCTTTCTGGGGTCAAAAGCGTCTAGTGAACGCAGTGGAAGCTAAGCTCTCAATACCTCTCCCCTATTGTGTCTCCCATGGCCCCCTTTTGTGGAAAAATTAACGCAGTGGAGGGTAGGCTCTCACGTGCCTTTTCCTCATTGTGTCTGGCCAAGTGATGTCGGTGCAGGCCATGTATTCAGAGGTTGCTGTGGTTCCTGGAAGACACTGCCAACGTCCGTGTCGTACAGGACCGTGCGTTTTCATAATTGCGGGTTACGAACCGCAAGGCACGTGCTGCCATGACGGCAGCACGTTCCTTGCGTGAAGAGGCGAGCATGAAAGTATGCTTTCATCTACTATAATAACCAAGTGTGAGAAATAGTTGCTTCCTTGAGAAGAAGTGTATGAACTATGTGAATAAAATTGGAACTCTCTGTCTCTGATGAATCGCCTTTTTTCACCGATAATCACCGATTTTAGCCTCGTCGTGAGACGTTCCACCGAAATACGCCGGTGTTTTGAAAATAAATAAACACCGAAAAACATCCGCCGATTTTTCTCACAAATAAACACCGGAAAGTACACACCCTAGCTATGCCCGACTATCTGAGCTCGTTGCCCGAGCCTGAACGGTAGCGGTATCGAAACAAACTGTGCGTGGACGGCGTGGCCTACGAGGATCTGTACGCCGTAAACAAGGCCTGCTGGACTTCCGACGTAAAGTTGCTGCCACGGAAGTCAACGGCTCAGGTCGTCGTTTATTTAGTTTTTTCGCCAAGCCAGTTCACGGCCGACACGGTGCAGGCGTACAAGTCTCTCGAGGTCTACGATTACTTCCAGTCGGTTTCTGCACTGCCGGCGGGATCAGCAGACTGTGGGTCTGCGGAAGTGTGTGTATTCATTAATTGATTAAATACACGGAGCGTCTTCAAGTCAAGGTATGATATTTTTCATACCCTCATGACCACAAGGCATTACAACCAATAAAGGTTTGTTCGTTCTGCAGTCTTGACGGTAACAGGTTACAAGTAACGGCGTTACCAGGAACGCGTTACTTTTTTCAGTAACGTAGTAACCTACTCGTTACGTTTTCGGCACAGTAACGGGTAACGTACTTATGTTACTATTTCAAGTAACGTAGTTATGTTAGTCGTTACTACTTCCCAAGTCTTAAAGAAATTACACTTCAATTGTTTCCGTGTTTTAGGCGTCAAGCCATGTTTTTCTTTGCGTTTTTTCTCGTAAGTATTTAGGTAAAACCGTGAAAAGCGCTAAAGTAATTATGTTCAGTTTCTGCATGAACATAATGTTTCTTGATATATGGCCTGTATCGTCAAAACCGTAAAATGTGTTACATCATAATTTAGATAAGTAACGCAGAAATAGCGTGCCTTACTTTTTATCGGTAGCGGCAACGCGTCCTTTTATTTTTAGATAACGTAGCTCAGTAACGCGTACCTTTTATTTGCAAGTAACGAGTAACGTATTTCGTTACTTTTTTTTTTTGGGTAACGCCTACAACACTGCCGTTCTGTCGTCGATCCCCTTCTGCTCGGTAGCACGGCCGTAGCGAGCCTCCGACGAGCGCTTGGGGGGTGCCCGGGTGCGTTGTGCGCGAACACCGTGGAAACGAAATCCGGGTGGTCTCGATCAGACAACGGTTTCCCTGCACATATGCAAGCCTCGGGACGGAGATTGAAATGGAAGCCGCACTTGCCTCCAAGAAAGTGTTTGCCGCACAAACGGTCGTTCGAGCGAGGCGACCATTCTTTTCGATCCACGGATATTATCCACCTTCTATGCGTTTCAGAGTCTGCCGGGAACTTGTGGAAACTCACTCCGCTGCTTTTCTTGTACATTTCGGTGCAATTAACGGCAACACAGCTTCGCGGCATGCTGAAATGCTATGACGCCCATGCGAAACGTCCGCGCTTTTGCCCACACCCCCCGGCTCCGGCGCGATCGCAGCGCCGCCGCAGCTCCGTGACGTCAAGCCCGCGTGTCGGTGTATAAAAGAAGTCTTATCGATTACCTATACCAGATCTTTGACGGATTTCTATTTATGTTGGAACGACAAGATTTATAGAAACATTACCTTTTATCGAGCAGGTATTTGCACAACTTCCTATCTTTTTACAAGTACCCCATTGACGTCATACAGCATGGTTCTCATGGCCGCCGCTCGTGGCTGCAGGTCGGCGAATATTCTTATTTTTGCCTGGCGATTACGCCGCGGAATCGCAACATTTTGAAGGAAGGAGATGTGTTTTCTGTCCTTTGTGACAAGATAAACAATGTCAAAAAGTAGAAGACGCAAATTCTTTCAACGTTAAAATCCAACATAAAAACGTTGAAAGAATTTGCATCTTCTACTTTTGACATTGTTTATCTTGTCACAAAGGACAGAAAACACATCTCGTTCCTTCGAAATGTTGCGATTCTGCCGCGTAATCGCGAGGCATATATTAGACTATTTCCCGACCTGCAGCCGCCAGCGTCGGCCATGAGAAGCACGCGTCGTGACGTCAAAGGGGGAGTTGTCAAAATATAGC